ACAAGGAGGAGAAGACGAGCTTCTTGGACGCTAAACAGGGGAGAGGAAGAACCAAATATAACTATCAAGCAAGGATAGAAATCGAGTCAGCAACAATAGACCAAGCTCGCACAGCACCCCTCAACAGCTCCAATAACTTGGTTCCTCATTCCAACCACAACTTGAACGTAAACGACACAGGGAAAGTAGTGAACGAAAAAGGAAAAAAAATAGAGGTGGGAGACATATAGATGAACCTAAACATTTCAGAGCAACCGTGAGCCCCCTCTGACATCGGTGACGGCAAGGAATGAAGAAGATAAAGATGAGTCGGTGATGGCAGGGGAACGAAGAGCAACAATCGTCCAAACTCTTGATTCTTCTCACACTCTCTTATACTTTGATAACCGACATTTTCCCAGTGAGAAAGAAAGGAAAATGAGAAAATAACATAGAGTGAGGGAGGGTATATTGGTAATATTATAAAGTTAAAATTACAAAAATGGACCCCTTTGTTTTTTTTTTGCCTTATCAAATCCGAACCTCAAACTTAATAATGGGTGAATTAAGTGCACAATCCCATTACATCAACTCCTTTTTTTTATCAAAAATTATCCCAAAATTAATATAACTACAATTATAATATAATACTATATATTAATTTTTTTACTTAAATTTTTGAGTTATTACAGAAAAATTTTTATACTATGAAAATATTTAAAAAATGGTGGAAGGAGAGAAGAAAGGGGAGGGGGGAGAGAGAAGGAGAAAATGACAAATATTAAAAAAAAATATGTGGGGCAAAGTAGGGGATAAACATATAAAAATACATGTGGGGTCCACTATGTAATATTTAATAATAAAAATATTAAAAAAACAAAAAAAAAGTGAGTCCAACCAACAACAAAAAAATTGACAGAATAAACATTAGAGTGATAAAAGAAAAAATCTTTGAGGTTGAAGGATAATAATGACTCATAATTAAGTTTAGAGTCATTTATGAACCTTCGTATGTATTTTAGGAATATATTTGACCTTTAATTCTTTTTTTATTATAAAATACTTAAATTGAAGGGTAAAACTGATCTTTTGAATAAAAGTAAAGGGGCAAAAATAACATTTAACCTAATAAAAATATTAAAAAATAGTGAGACTCAATGATAATTAATAGACGTTAAATATTTTTAATATCAGGATAATGATAAAGAGAATCTTTAAAATTAAAAAATAAAATTAACTCATAATTAAATTTAAAAATATTTATATTTTCATGTACAGTTAAAATCTTTCAAGGCACAATGATTTTTAACCCCAATGTTTTACCTCAATTATACGAAGTTACCAAATGGCCCATTAAAAACAGCATTGGATGTTTGTTTCCCTTTCTCTTCCTTCTCATTAGCGCTGCACAAAAACAGGACAGTACTGAACTTTACCTAACCTGAAGCTCAGTCTCTCTTATAAAAATGACTGGATTAGGCAACTCGTACTCCGGTCTTGTCCAGTGGTAACCCGAAAATTAACAAGACTGGACTTGATCTATGGGACTGGGAGATTGGTCCTGTCAGTTTAGTATTCACTTAGCTTTTTTTTTTCTTTTTTTTATTTTATGAGAGGCAATAATCTATTTCAACATAATAAATTCAATTAAGATAGTAAAAATACTTATAATAATAATAAATCTATAATAATTTTTAATAATAAAAAAAATATTTCTGTTATAGTCTAAATAATTTAAATTTATAACTTAACAAAAACATCACTCAACAAAATTCAACAACACTACATTACAACAACAATTTAGAAACAAACTTAACAAATCTTCATACAATCATTTCCTTAACATTAATTACACTTCAAATACTTGTCGAAAATAAATTAATTATAATTATAATAAAAAAAATTAATAAGATTGGACTGGGCCAAGTGGTTTGGATGCCTAGTTTCTTGTTCGGTTTAATCCGAAAAAATAGTCTAATTTTTTTAGTTTTTTTGATCCTAAAAGATCGGTGTTTATATAAATTGAACAAGATTGAGACCATCTTGAAAGACTTTTGCACAGCCCTGCTCCTCATCTTAGATCCGCAGCAAATCGCGAGAGGGAGGGAGGGGGGTCGACTGTTCAAGAACGTCTGCGTCCTTTCTTCCTCTTCCCGTCGTCGTTGTGTGTGCAGCTGTCATAGCTGCCGAATTCTTCTCGTTCTCTGTTCTGTTTCGCATCAGCAGATACTTCTTCCTCGATTCGGTGCTGCCCATTCTTCCGTCACGCCGTCCGTCTGTCACTAGCACTGCAGAGCGCCACTCAGCTTGTGAGTTCTCCTTCTCCCCTGGTCGCGTCGTCTCCGCACTGGTGCGGGTGAGGTTTCGTTTCTTCATCCTTCTTCCTCTGTCACGATCTAGTGTTGGGTTCTTTTAAAAAAGAGTGGGGAAAACACACTCCTCCTCTCCTAGCGTCGTCCATGTTAAGTGCTGAAATTATGGGTTGATTATTATTGTCTCTTTTCAGCTGCCGTGTGTGAAGTATAGGAGATGCTGGAATCCAAGCAAGCTAAAATCTAAGTTTAAGGAATTCTTTTTTTAATGGGTGATTTCACTTCAGTTGCTCTAAGGAGATGGGTTTAGATTTGGTTTTCTTGAGTTTAAATTAATTTCGATGGGGAATCAAATTTGAAAAGCGTGATAAATTTAAATATTGATGTTTGGAGATTGTTGGGCATGGTTTGGAAATTTTTGCACACAATGTGATCGCTAAGAGATCTTAAGAGGAAATCATATCTCAATTGAGCAATTAGCTGCGGCTAAAGTTGTATGAAGAAACTTCAATGAATAAGTGTTGGTGTTCTGGGAACTATGAATTATTTTAGTTGATTGTGGTCGTGTTAATGGTGGATGAGGGTCTATTAAATTTATATGAAATCTACTAAAATTCTTTACATATTTTTACAGGGTGTTTGGAGAAAGAGAAACATGATAAAAGTTGTAAGGAGTGAATTTAAAAGTTGGGGGCCCATCATATCTTTTGCGTATTGAATATTATGTTAACTAAACTACCCTGGCTAGTGAAGTTATAATATGTATAGTGAAGGATAATTAAATTACAATATGTGGATGTACATTTCTTTACAGAATATGCTTTGACAGCTGACAAAAACATTTTACTATAAATTCTAGTAACTTTTTATTTGATAAAGACAATCAAGTAGTTTTAATGTTGTTTTTTACGTGTGGAAAATTGATGTCAAACTCTTCTTTTAAATTTGTCATGGACTTAGAGTGGAAATGTGTCTATTTGGTTGTTGAATATTAGCCTCAGCTGATTTAATAAGTTTGGGTAGATTCTTAAACAAGTGTAGATTTAAATTAGTTATATGTTTTTAAATTATTTTCATCTTTTTATATTTACTTTTATTTTTTTTATTATCTAAGGTATCTCCACAATTGATAGTTGTGGGAGATGAGACTAATTTTTTAAGAAATCTAAGCGTTATTTAAAGGGTTATCATATTTCAATTGATTATATTTACCCTTATTTAATAAGTTATTTTATTTAAAAATAATTTATTTATTGAGGGTATTTTTGAACAAAATTAACTATATTTTAAAATATTAAAAATACCTTACATTTTTTAACATTCAATCTTTTAAAAAATACTTTATATTTTTGAATGGGTGTGTATATATATATATATATATATAAATTTGGCCTCCCAACCCTCTAAGTTTTGGTTCCACCCCTACTTACGTTATTGGATATTTTGGTCAAATAAATTATTCTAGCTTTCAAAAATATATTATGTTGGAGGGAAAAAAAAAAGTTTATACAAGCTTAAACAATATTTTTCCTTTTTTTTCTCTTTTTTATTGGGCTCAGTATCCTAAAAAACTTGGGGATATTTTCGCCTCCCACCTAGACTAATTTGAACTCTTTCTATATGAGATCATGATTATCAACAGCAGTGCCATAGGTACTTTAGATAATTTTGATATATTTATTTAACATGATTATATATTTTAAGAATTGAACTCGAGATTTTAAAGTAAAATGATTTAACTCTTTTGATCAATTGAATCAAGTAACAAGCTTAGTTTAATTTTTTTGGGCACTATTCTCAAGTTTGTTCATGCAATTTCGAGTCATATTTAGTTTATTATTTACTAGACTATATGTTCACATTTATCTTCAAAACTTTAAGTTGTATTTGATTCATTGGTTATCCTTTGAGTGTCGATGTGTTTGAAAGTAATACTTTCTTTAGTTTTTATTATATTGATTTATTATGAAAATATTTTTCTTATAAGATTGAAAATATATTAATTTTATTACTTTTCCAATCATAATTTGATCACTATCAAGTTAATAAACCTTACTTTATAGTTCCAAATAAATTAATTAATTTAAACACTAACAAAATAAAAATCCTAGTGATAATTGAAATTTAGGGTCCATAGTCTTTTGCTTTTGAAAAACAAAAATTAAAAAATACTCATTTAAATAAGCATTCTAAATTTAATTATTTTTAAAATTGTTCTCAATTTTGTTTTTTAAAAATGTTTAATTAAATATATTATATTTAATTATTAAAAATTATAGTCACATTCACCAATTACTATCATACACTATTATTATTAATTGTCACCAATTTTTAATTATATAATTAATTTTTAAATTAACATAATTAAATGAATTTTTTTATTCTGTTTTAAAAATTTTTAAAAAATATATTGTAAAACATTTTTTAAAAATAAAAAATAAAACAAAAAGCAAACAAGTCTTTAAATACCTTATTTGTAATTGAATATATATTGTAATCAAACAAGCATTTAAACCAAACAAAAACTAAACAAAAACTATGTTGTAATTATATGAATAAATATTCTTAACTCATTTTTGTATCATTAATTCAATTTTTCGAAATATAACTGTAATTTTTTCAAACATTTTTGCTCCATTACCAATAATAATTACTTAAAAATTGACTAAAAATATAAAAAATGAGTAATTTATGCGTGAAGTCGCCAATTTCATGAGCAACAGCAAAAGTGCAGGCCCATCAAAAGTCATGGGCTCACTCTATGCCAAGCTACAGTGGTTTAGGCGGGAAACCGTGAAATTTTCATTCGCTTCCCTCTTCCCTTGCAAACTGAGGGGGGAAATGGCCAGATGCGGAAGCCAAACGTTGAGGGACTGAAGAGCCGAGCCAAGCCGCTGCCTTCTCATCGTTCTTTCTTCATTCTTGGGGCGTCTCCATCCAGTCTTCTCCGTCTCAGAGCTCGCGTGCGTCCCCTACTTCGTTGTGCTCTTGAATCAGGTGCGTCGCTTTTCTATTTGCCTTCTTTGTTCTGGTATGGTTCTTTGTACCCTTTATTTTGGTTCCCTTTTATGGTTCTTCGTTCTGGCTCCGCTCGTTCTGGACTCTGATATGGTTCTTTGTTTATTTGTTCTGACTTGGTCTTTGTGCTTTCCTTGGATGCTAGTCGCTCACTTTGGGAACATTTCCCCTATCCCTATTCTTTTCCCACTTGCCCTCTTGCTCTTCTTCTCACGCTGCTTCGACTGGTTCTCCTTGGAAGCGGAAGATTGTTGGTGTTGCTGCTATGGAGAGGTCGGGTATCGTCCTCTCCGTCACTGGTGGCGATTTGCGTCGATTCCCCACTTCAGGATGGAATACCTTGAAACTCCCGGCTTGTTTGGTTGAATGGAATGCCCGAATGCAATGCAATGTTTTTATCAATGCATTGTCTCATATTCTGGTTGCTGATCATTGTGGCTTTTTTTTTAAGAGCTATTTTTTGAAAAAGGGTTGTTATATTCTGGTTGCTAATTTCTCTTCGCCGCTCTTCTGTTTTTCTTGCTAGCATTAGTCGCACCGCCGTGTACCTGAGCTCCAGATTCGGTGGGATTGAGCATCGTACAAGTGGCCGTTGCCTCCATTGCCATTAATTTCCACACAAGTGATGCTTGCTTTGCCTCATTCCCGTTTCGTGGGGTCTTAAGCCCTTCAATTTGATATAGTGACTACTCTGTGTTCCCTCTACAAGGTAGCATTCTTGCACTGATGGAGAACGCAGCTTTCATTTTTCATGTTATTACACTTTTGAAGCTGTTTGATTTTGGTTCTGTGTAAATGTTCGTTTCTGAGTTGCTTCCTTCTTCTGATTCTTCTCTTTTAGTCCTGAATTCTACTTTATTTTTGTAATTTGACTCATCTTAAGGTGGCCTTGCTTGCTCCTAATTAAAATCAGCACTTCTTTAATTTCTTTCTTTCTTTCTTTTATGCCAATCGTGCTGAGTAGTCTGATGTTCCGTTTTTGCTCTGGGTTTTCATAGTGCAAAAGCTTTGGATATCTGTCCATGCCTCCTAGGAAGAAACCCAGCTCTTCTAAGAAATCGAATCTGAGCAGCCAGGCTCAGCCTTCTAAGTTCGGCATTCAACATTTTTTTGAGCGCCACACCCAGAATGCTCTTGTGGCCTCTCAGAAGCAGCCAAAAAATGATCCAGCTGCGAACCGTCCCATTTCTGCTCCCCAAGATTCCAAGTCTGTTGCATCTCCTAACTCTCATATTCCACCTGTTGCTGGGTCGCAAGCTGTCGCTCCAAACAATTTAGATTCCGTTCTTGCTAGAGCTGAAAGTAAATTGAACTCAGACTTGGCTGGGCCAAAAATTGAGAATTCAGAATCGCAAAAGCGTAAAGACACCCCGCAAGTTGGAGCAAATGAATACAATAACGTTTCGCAGAATACTCCTTCAGAGAATTTGTTAATACCAGGGTTTGATGCTGTGGAAAATCTCCCTGAGGCGTCTCCGGAAATTTCCAAGATTGTGCCTCATAAGCGCTTTAAGTTCTCGCCTGGGATGGTATTTGCTTTAAACGATGTTTTAGACCTTTTTTTTTTTAAAAAAAAGCAATTGATCATTTCGCTCCCTTTCTCCTAATTATTAAACGGATTGTCGGTTCTCAGTTATTCAAAAGTATCACTTAAATCCAACGGGTTCCTACTCAGTTGGGATAGCTAATCAGTTATGGAAATTTGAAGTTTATTTTCCGAGAATACATTTTCAAAAATGTTTCACTTGTACCTGAATTAAAACAACAATTTTTATTGCTTTTACTTTTAACTTGGAAGTGCTAAAAGAAGCACATTTTCTTTGTGACTACCTTCTTATGCAAGTTGCTGATTAAATTGCAAGTTTACATCTTTGCTTGTTTCCTTCAATGTTTCTAATTATATCTTTGCAAAAATATACTTGTGGATAGTTAATAAAACAGAGCCAGGATGATGGGGTTGATGAAGTCACATGGAAGATATCTCCTGTGAATGAAAGACTTCAAGCAGTTTCAAAACACATGCCTCAGATGATTCAGGCTTTGGCTGAATCTTCTAGAATCAACTTATTGCCCGTTGGGATTTCCTCAGAGAATCAGGCAAGTGTTTGAGGAGACACTGTTAATTTCATGTTTTATCGTTTAATATGGTTATAAATTGCCAATGCATGGTGCAGACTTCTCTGACTAAAGGTGGCAAATTTGAAAAGATACTTGCTTCACCATCTACAAAGGCTGCTGAGAGGTCAACAGTGTTGAAGAATGAAAAAGGCTTGAAACGTATAAACGCAGACCAAGACATGGTTTTTAACGTCAGTTCAACTGCTGTGAATGGTTCTGGAGTAATTACTGTACAGAGCCCCTTCCGAACTCCGCCATCTCTATCCTATTGCTCTGATAAGGTATTTTAATCTTCATAGTTTATTGGTCCTATTGATCTGTTATTTCATCAATTTATACTATACATTTCAGAATATAAAAATATGTAATAGTGGAAAACCTCTCCAACGATGTAAGACAGGGATATAAAATTCTTGGAAAAGTTTTTCTTATTTATTTTATTTTATTTTTCAACATGCTTGTATTTTTCTGGTCACCTTCCCGTCTTTCAAATAATGCTTTTTAGTACCATCTTCATTTCATGTTGAATTTGAAGGTGCAGCTTGTCAGGGATGTTGAGCACAATGGACTATCTGACCAGCTTTATTTAAGACAGCATAAAAAGGTCAGGCCTTTGGACTTGCTTTTGCAATATTAATTCATTCAGATCTAGTTCACTGAAATTTGCAAATTTGAGGCATGTGGTATTAAATAATTCCAGTTATAATATGTAAATTGCTGTTTGCAACACCTTGTGCCTGTAGTAACAAGGGCATTAATACTTTTCCCTGTCTGATAGTCTACTATATTCCTTTTGAAAAACAAGATATAGAGGAGCTAGTTAGAGCTAGACTAGCAAGGAAAAGAAAATGCTTTGGCTTCTGAGTGGGATGACAGGAAACATATGACAAAGGAAATGCATCCCGAGCAATTTACATATGAAGAAAAATAATTACAGTTTCCTGCGTGCTGGTTGCATGGACAATTTCTTCAAAACTGTCTCCTGTTCTTGTCCTACCAATTGCACATGTTTCTTCTGTTTCGTGAAAAGGGGCTTGTGACCTTTTACGCGCCAGACTATATAGCAGTTAAACCTCAGGAGTTACAATGCTTGCGGAAGCCACACATTCATTAGAGTATTTCTTTTTTCTTTATTTCTATAGGCATTGCTTGAACTGTTAGATCAAGTCGAAGATGCCATTTGTGTTGAAGATGCTACAATCTGTGATAAAAGTGCAAATTACATTAAGTCTCAAGATGGAATTGCTGATAATCTGCCCATCAGAGTTGACTCTGCAGCAGAAAGCACTAGAATTCATAAGCCCAAAGAGGCCCTTGGTGGGTCCAGTTCTAATTATTTGGTCTTGGAGGTATTTTTTTCTTTGAAATTATGGTCTGCTATGAATAAATTTTTTATCAACAAAATTTATATTCTGGTAGGCTTACCACTTGTATGTTTTGTTATAGGTATCTGAAAAACATAGTCTTGCTAATTCATCTGCTTTGCAAGGCCCATACAAGGTTTATTAAGGCTTATTGCTATAACACCGCAATTTATTGCTTCTAAAGATCTTGTAACTGATTTACATTTACTTGATAAATTGCTTCTAGGTGCTTCGTTTAATAAATGAACAAACTGGAGAAGAGAAGGCTGCAAACTTGTTGGAAGAGTGGTAAGTTGGTGTGCTTAAATCTATGATTGTTAATCAGTAAAGTTGATCGTGTGTATATATATATATATGTAATAGTTCAAAACAAGACATTATTTGGTATGTCAAATGGTTGTTTTTGCTGACTCCAGTTGAAAAATCTTGACTAAGTATTGGTCTTGGAATTTAAATGAATTATTTGATTGATTTTGAGTTTTTTTATTATTCTCTGTTGATAATAATTTTGAATAATTATAGTAATTGTTTAAATTATTACAGGTCTTACAGTGTTGTTGCACCTGGAGATACTGTGAATATAATTGGTCAATTTGATGATTGGGGGCATTGTGATGTAGATCATGATAATAATTTTTTGATTGTACACCCAGATATTCTGGTGTCTGGGTCTCGGGTATTTATGATTTGCTATCTTGAAACTATATTTATTTATTTATTTCTGTCCATGACTTTCCTTATTTTATTTACTTCATTAGATATTTTTTATATGATGTGGTAATTTTACAGGATCAATGTTTCCTAATTCTCTCTAATTGGATAACTTTTATCTTATCGGAATTTCATTTATAAAATGAGAATGCCAATATTGCTATTGTAGAAATGTTGCTTTCTCTTCCTATAAACGGTCTTGTTATTTTTAAACAGAGATTCAGATGATCTTTTTTGAATCCCTTTTCCAGTTTTTTTTTTCAATGTTTATTTCACTGTTTTTTATTTTATATGTTTCCTTCTGATATACAGAATTATTCCAGGTAGCTGCTAGTTTTACTTGTCCAAGGAGAACTGTCTTAGATGAGAGGCTAAAATGTAATGAGCACTCAATTGCTGCATTAACTGGAACCTTACTTCACCAAATTTTTCAGGTCTCTAAAGCTCCTCTACCTTATAAAGTTGTTATCGCATCTTTATAATTATTTTACTGTGATGAAGCATGCATCGAATTTCAGATTCATTTTCTTCTTCTTCCTTTGTTTTTTAATGGGATGGGGGATTTGATGGGGATGACAGGCTGGACTTATCAAGGATAGTCCTTCAACAAACTTCTTAGAGGAATATGCACGATTGGTACTCCAGAGAAACATTGAAAGCTTGTATGCATGTGGAGGTGAGGGTTTGTGTATGTATTTATATTAGTGTGTGCGTGCATGTGTGTAACATGCATAGCTAGTTCTTACTTTGAGCTGCGAGTTTTTTCCAACCCTGGTTGCAACCATAATCATCAAAAGGCTGGATAAAATTCAGTGTTCTTGTGGCTGATTCTTAACATCTTCGTTGTAACTTGTTCAAAATAAGTTTTTGATCTGTGTTCTGTATCATCAGGAGTATTAATTTTTGCCTTTGTGCATATTTCAGTAAATGAAAATGATGTGCACAAAACCTTGATAGACGCCATTCCACGAATATTAAATTGGATCAAACTGTTCAAGAATTCAGAGGTGCGTTAAAATATCTCTAGCTTTTGTCCACGAACTATCAACTATCATTAGCTGTTACCTTTTGGAATGCATGTCATTGCTTTTTGCCGCCAAATGTAACTTACAACAGTACTGCACGGCTTTGTGATCTTTTTGATATAGGTATGAACAATGCTTACAAAATAACATGAAATTATGCTTATTATTTGGCCTATCTTAACAATAGTTTTAAGTCTTGAATGGTTAGGATTTATTGGCAAGAATTGTAAAGAGTCTTGAAGAATAAAGGATGATTATTTTGTGACTCCTATGATGCTCACCATGCCTATGACACACATCATTGGGCTGTCAAAGCCTTAAAAGAAGAAGAAAAGAAAAGGGAATCATGTTAAAAGCATTTTTAACGTAGATGCATGGGTTAGTGCAAAATGTCGACTTGAAAATGGGAAAAGTAGGCTACTGTATTCATATTTTGCGTAAGTTTGTTTACCGACAGAAGATTATTTAAGCTATGTTTTGTTAGAACTAAGTGATATTTTACAATTGTAAACGCATAACACTATTCAATTCATTTACTCATTTAGAGGGCCTCATCCCTTATTCATAAGCTACTATTGGGATACTCCATTTGTCCCATAGTATAGGAAATTGATAATTAATTCACGATTCTCAAAAAAAAGTTAGTTGAAACTTTGATCTATTAAAAAAATTTCATCTTTCCAATTATACCCTCATTAAATATTCTATATAAGTGCCTTGATAATGACAATGAAATTCTTATGAATCAATTTTCAAAAAGAGTAATAAATGAAGTGGGGGTTAATTGGAAAAATAATTAAAAAAATTATCTGATGCCTTAAATTTTTGGATCAAGCAAGGCTTCTAGAAGATGCCCTATATTGTGGTTTGGAGGGAATACAAGTTTATCTAATAGAATAACATCTACTAATGAATAGCTAATCCTAACTAATCCCAATTAACAATACTTCCCCCCTTTGAAATGATCCTTGCTGTCAATGATCTATGCGATAAAATTTTAAAATTCATTGGGACATTTCAAAATCTGTATTATTGTTTAGAGACTCTTGATTTGCACAACTCTATGGCTCAATGTAGAATCCTTGGCCAATTGTGTATCTGATACCACATGGCCCAACTCCTTTGTGCCCCAAGCTCATTGCTGGTTCTAGACTAATTTAACTAATTGCTCTCAACAAGAGTATATCCTTACTCTTTATTAGCCATAATAGCAGTTGGGTTTGGACCTCCCTCCATAACTTGTATTATATGGCCTTAGATGCTTGAGCCGATTTTCTTCTACAGCTGTCCAAACACCACATGGCCCATTGCTATATTGCATATGGGTTTAGCTAGCAGAAGCTTTAAAGAAGCTTACTATTGTCTGGATGTTAGAAAGGGAGGCCCCAATGAAACAAATTATAGCTATCGCATGGGACCTATGGATATTTTGAATGGTTGTGGGGAACTTCATAGGGACTTCCCAAAATTTTATTTTAGGAAGAAGTATTACAGAGAAAACACACCAGTAAAGCCTGTCAATGTGTACTTATATACACTTCATATTTATAAGCAATCTGCACTGTATATTAATATACATATATATGTCCACGTGTATGGTGTTTTTTGTTTCTCATTAATGACTTTGGATTTTGACAGGAAAAGAGAGATGCTTATGTTGATTTTGGATGTGATGATGGGATAAAGAAAGTCAAAGTATCGGAGGCAAGGACCAAACTTGATCACTCTGTGCTTAACCATTTGATCAATTGCGTATCACTATGAATCCATATGTAATCTTGTTGGTGAAATATGATTGTAATAAAAAGTTGTTGGAGTTGCTGGAGAAATTACTAGGTTTTAATGTTGATGCGTTTTTGATTTTGTAAATTTGAAGTTTTCCATCCAATAAGTTCATGTGCATATGTTCTTGTTATAAGTGTTAGAATTGAAATTAAAAGTAATTTGTTTTTAGTCATTTCTATTTTTGATATTTCATTATTTTCTGATGTCCCTAATTGTAATTTGCCCCTAATGTAGGCCTCCATATGTGTTCATACATACTCATGTAATTGTCTCAATCTGAAAATAATAAAGCTGGATTTTCAGACTTACTGTCGTGGTATTTAACATTTGTTGGGCAGAGAAATAAGCTTTGTGAGTTTTTGGGAACAAAGCTTTGTCCACACTCTTAACAAAGTTTTGCTGTAGCTCTTCTTTTGGTTTGCTTTCTTCAGTCATTGTCTTTTAGTCTAGCATCTGGTATAATTTTTTCTTTCTAGTAATTTTCTCTCAGTTCTGTTGTTTTTATAGTGGCCAACCCTCACTTAATGGGATAAAGTTTTTGTTGTTTTGTAGCTTTTATAGATTTTGGCGCATGACTATGCCATTTGTTTGATTCCTTTTCACTTCAAAGACCTTCGAAACTCTACAGAACTTGGTGACTGACCTACCATGCCAATTGTACTATCATAGGACTTCACGTGTCACTCCACCCTCCACACTCTACTGTAACATTGTTCAAACAGGCTTCATGTGCTGGTAATTGTCCTAATGTAGCCGTCTCCTATAGTGGATCTTCTGCAGTAGTGGATCCAGCCCAATGTGCATCTTATGTATACTTCATCTCTAGAGTTTCCTTTCTCAAAGAAACAATCCTTTTCCCCAGGGGTTGTCATCAAATATCTCAAGATTATGTATACTGCCTTCATATGTTCCTCTTGCAGACTTCTCTCATGAATTGACTTACCATGCTTATGGGAAAGCAATGTCTTGGTCTTGTGTATTAGAGATAGATGAGCTTACTCAACAATCCTTGATACCTCCCTATATCAACTGGAGTTGTCCTATCATTCGGGCTTAACTTGTTAATGGGATTCATGGGTATCTCATCTGGCTTTGCACCCATAATGCCTGCTTCCTTCAATAGATTTAAAGCATATAGAATCCTGAAATTTACCATAAGAAAACACACTTGAAAGAGGTAACATTACAGTTTCCCAAAGGAAAATATACTCTAGATCTGTTGAATGAACTAGGCAGGTGGGGGGCATGATTAATATCTGATAAGCCTGAGAAGGGCATGATGATTAATTTAATTTTTAGTATTTTCATTATTAATTCCTAGTGTCCTTGATTGTAATTTATGTCTAGAGTAATCATGTAATTGTCTTATTCTAAAAATGATAATTTCAGAGTTTCAGCTGACATACACATGTATATATTGTTTTTAGTTTTCTGTTTTTTCAATTAAAAGAACATTATATAGCTAAAGGCATCTGTGTCAAATGTAGGTGCTTGATATTGAGGAAATGGCATGGGCTCCTCAGTATGGTTTGAAAGGGATGATGATGCTTCTGTCAGTGTGAAAGTTTTACCTAAGGGAAATGAATCAGATGAAAAGGTCATGCCATTAGAGTTCAAAACTGGGAAAGCAATGTCTGGCCAGGCAAGATTCTGGTTCATACTACTACTAATCTATGCCATAGAATGTCGGGTGTTTGATTTATATTTTTATGGGAATGCATTAAAACGTCACTCCAAGTTTTCTTGTATGTATGATATTTCTGATGACAATTGCATTTGATATTTCCAGTCATCTATAGAACATCGTGCCCAAGTGATCTTGTACACTCTTCTGATGTCAGAAAGGTGTGTAATCTTTTTCTAGCAAGATATCTATAATAAAATATTTTAAGAAAACGTCCTTTTACTATTTCGGATGGTTTAATTTTATAGGTACCTAAAGACTATCGATTCTGGTCTTCTATATTATCTCCAGTCAGATCAGACGGAGGTAAGGTCATGTTGATACTAATTAGCTATATCTTTTTAATAAGATGGGTAGTCTTATCATTTTTATGTTGCATGAAGGGTTATTGTTGTTCAAAGATCTGACTTAGTTGGGCTAATCATGCGACGTCGTAATGAGCTTGCAAGTGATATTCTGAAAGCATTAACCACTCAACAACTGCCTCCAATGTTACAGGTATGAACTTATTTGACCACTTTTACACTGGTGCTTATGATAACTTGATCAGATGTCACTACCTGTTCTTTCATCTTTCTATTTGTAGAGTCTGAGCATTTGCCGAGGTTGTCGCCATCTTAATGTTTGTAGCATTTATCACCAAGGTACTTTACTTGTTCAAGGGGTTTAAAATTGTTATAATTGTTTCCGTCTCGTTCACTCATATGATAAGTATACTTGAATTTGCTTTCTTAAGATTCCTTAAATTTAAGTAACAGGATCTGTTCTGACATGTTCTGAAACATTAAGTTGCTAACTGAAATACTACTGGCCTGTCTGGTTCAAAAAATGATAGAGAATTTAACAGAATGATGATTAGATATTTGTGTGGTATGACGTTTAGGCAAAGTGAAATAAAATAAATTTTTGATATTTAGTTTGTACAAAAAAAAAAGAAAAGAATATGTCTCCCTCCTTCCTCTGTTCTTTCTTCCTCTTCACCAATGAACCCCAAAAAAGTCATCATTCAGACTTGAATGGAGGACGTAGAAATCATTCACAAAAATAATAAAATGAATTGCAAATGGAATTGAGAAGAACATTATTGCAGAACCAGAATGAACGAACTCGCAAATGGTGTGAACCAGATTGATGGAGAAGGAAACCACATCTGGAATGAACTGTCGAACTTGTGTTCAAGGAGAAGCATCAGATCTATGACCAAGATGAACCATTGAACTAGACCTCTCACAAATCAAAACCCAGATTCGGTGTGGCTGAAAAGGAAAAAGGAAAAAGATCCACGGGTCGATGAAAGACAAATCCTATCTGTGATGCAAGTGGAATGTGAAGGTGAAGGAGTTAGAGGTGACTGCCGCTAAGTGGGGAGATCTATGGTGGCGGCGGCGCTGGAGTGGGTCGGAGTTTGATGGTGCGGTGATGTCGAGGTGAAGGTGGTGGTCGAAGGTCGCTACTGGTGATTGGGACTATGGTAGAGGTTTACTAGCTGTGGTGGGATGGAGGAAGAATGGCGATGGAGGTGGCATAAAAAGAAGAATAGGGAGGATGGGGTATTTTAAGTTCAATCTGATTTTTGACCTCTGGTAATTTTCATTGATACCTATCTAGATGAGAATGTGTTATAGAAAATAGAGAAGAAAGTAGAATAGAGATAAAGAAGTAGAACAGATTGGGAAAGAATGAGGAAGAACAAAAGAGATAGAGGGAACCAGGAGAGAGAGAGATTCTGATCAATAGACTTCCGTTATGTCAGATAGGCTATTTACAAATGAGGAGGCATCCTCCTATGCTGAGTAAAATCATTAAAAGACTGCTAAATGACCTAACTACCTTTATCAGTCAATTGCCATTAAAATAGAAATGTTTTATTATTTTCATATCAATACCCTCCTCGCAAGAGACTCTTGTCCTCACAGCAAAATCCTTAGGTGCAAATTTCAAAACCAGACAGAAGAACCTTTTCTCTTAAAGTCTGAAAATCCCTTTTGGGATAGTAGTATGACGACTGATTATTTGAGCTTTTGACTTGACTATTCACTGAAAATGCCTTTAGCCTATGCTGCTCATTTTCGTCCTTTTTCTTCTTCTTTCTTGTTTTAAAAAGCTAGTAGTACCATTGTTTCAATAAAAAAAAAAAGGAAGCCGGTACCATTTGCGGGTTCCACCATAAGATAGTCAGTTGTGCGCTGACTTGTTCTTACACACAGCAGCTGTAACACTCCCAGGCAACATACTCGCATGTGCAGCAATCCCAATGTGCGAAGAACTCTGAAATATGAGAAGCATCCATACCATGTCCCAAAATGCGAAACTTGGCTATGCATCTCAACCCTTGGCACCCTATAGGCTAAATGAATAGAACCCAACATGGCTGAGAATAGAACACAACACCATGGAATAAACAGAGGCCATTGATGAAAGAAAGATAAACCAGTGAGGGAAAAGAAATTGGAACCAGCACACCAAGAAGAATTGAGATGGAAGGTGACAAAATCTGGAGATGACAATGAATTTGAAAGACCCGAATCATGAGGGACCCATGGTGACAGAGGTTTTGCGACAAGAAGGGCCTTCTTTTTTAATTCTTCCTAAGCAACTTGACCCCGTAACACTTAGAAGGTGCAAAAATTGAGGGACAACCACTCCATTTGAAGTAGACAATGCTGTTTTTCTTTGGGTAATCTTGTAATCATCTTGCTCGACTGCAAGAACATACCAAGGATCCTTCTTGAAATCATTGCCATTACGAAACCAGAGGTTGCTGCACTCTGTCGCATGTTTTGGGAAGGAGATTGAACAAGACCCGTAATCTTTTGGAGCCAGCAACAGTTCTTGCTCATCAATGGACCTGTTTGGGCTTGTTGGGAAAGGAACACCGAACAAATCCATCTTCTTCTTCAACAGAAGCAACTGGGGCATCGTCCAAGAATGATT